CTCGTAAAAATGCAATATATAATTACTGTAGACTCGTATAATAGCTAATCAGATGTCCATAAACCTTTAGATATTGTTTCTTTGTATAGAATAGAATAGAATAGAATATTTTTTATTCAATATACATTAGGTACATGTGTAATTCTTATTGAAAGTCATTTTTTACTTTACCACTGGTTCGAAAAAAAACCCTCTGTCCTAGGAGAAGAAGAACCAGCTAGAAACCCAGCGGGACTTTTTTTTTAAAATAAATTTTACAATATAAATGATTACGAACTATTTACAAAATTTATTTTAGAAACTGCTTGGAAGCGACCACCTCATTCCCAGGGGTTATTATCAACCATGTATTCATTTATACTATAATAACCCTTTTTATACAGTTTCAGCTTAATAAAACATTTAAACTTGGTAATAGAGAGAACCTGTACACTTTCCGGGACCTTGTTGTAATAGCGTATACATTGCCTCAAGAATGAATTACTGACTCTGTGGAGTCGAGAAACTGGCATCACTAGCTTGTGTTTGTTCCTAGTGTTTACAGAATGTATATCACTTTTTTTACTAAAACTGTCTTTGTTTTTGTGAACATACATTAAATTTTCGTAAATATACTGAGAGGCCAAAGTTAATATATTAATTTCTTTAAATTTATCGCTAAGAGACTCTCTCGGTTTTAGATTGTAAATAGCTCTAATGGCCCTCTTCTGTAAAACAAAAATAGTTTCTGAATCAGCCGCATTTCCCCATAGCAAAATCCCATAAGACATTATGCTATGGAAATAACTAAACTAAACTAATCTAGCTGTCTCGACGCTAGTGAGATCTCTAATCTATTTTACAGCATAGGCTGCAGAACTTAGTCTGCTTGCTAATTTGGATATATGGGGGCCCCACTGGAGCTTTGCGTCAAGAGTGATGCCAAGAAAAACAGTGGATACAACAGGGCTCAATTCCTCCCCATTTAACAACACATTGGTATTCAAATTTTTAACATTCGTTGTTGTAAATTTAACACAATTAGTTTTATTTCCGTTCAAATGCAGATTATTAACGTTAAACCAATGCACTAATTTTGATATAGCATTATTCACTTCGTCACATTTAAATGATTGACGTTTAAGTTTGAAAATCAAGGAAGTATCATCAACAAATAATACTATATCAAGACTATAGCCTACAAGGTGAGGTAAGTCATTAATATACACCAGAAACAGGAATGGGCCGAGAATCGAGCCCTGAGGAACACCCATTAGTACAGGTGACCCGGAAGAACTTTTACCATTGATAATAATCTTCTATTTTCTATTAATTAAATATGAAATAATAAGTTTATGCGCTTTGTTCTTGACACCATAGTACTGTAGCTTCCTGATTAATGTCTCATGGTGAACACAGTCGAAGGCCTTGGAAAGGTCACAAAATATACCCAAAGCAACCTCTAAATTCTCCCATGCACAAAAAATATGTTTAATAAGCTCAACTACAGCGTCAGTTCTCGAGCGACCCCTTGTAAAACCGAATTTATTTTTATGTAGCAATTTATTAATATTAAAGAAACTTAACATCTGATCTAAAATAATTTTTTCAAAAATTTTACTTAATGTTGGTAGTACAGAAATTGGTCTAAAATTGGCGGGGTCTAATGTACTACCAGATTTAAATATAGTAGGTATGACTTTACTATGTTTCATTAAATCAGGAAACACACCAGATTCGACGCTTATATTAAATATAGTGGCTAGATAAGGTGCTAATGTATCTATTATAGATAAAATAACTTTAACGGAGATCCCCCATAAGTCTGCCGTTTTCTTAAGATCAATAGTTTTAAAATATTTAACGATATCTTTTGGCAGAACCCTATGGAATTTAAAAGTATTTGAACAAGCGTTTACATTTTGTTTGAGCAATGATTCGGCGACAGTAGGAGAAGAATTTAATGATTTTGTTGTCAAGAAAGGAACATCACTAAAATGTTTCTCAAAAGCCAAAGCAACTTCTTGATCAGATCGCGTTAAATTATTGTTAATATTCAATTGAAAATCCGAGTTGCGCGGTTTGACCTTGCCCGTTTCACTATTTATTATTCTCCAGGTCATTTTAATTTTGTCGGATGCAGTTTTAATTTTGTTGCTTAAATTTAAAGCCTTTGCAGTGGAGCACACATTTTAAATATTTTAGAATATGTTTTTACATAATCTTCAAACATAACACTACTATTATATGATCTTTCATCATAAAGCTCGTATAACCTTCGCCTACTTTTATAAATTCCTACTTTCGCCCATTCATTAAATGATTTGCGACTGTTAACAGAGAAAGTTTTAGAAGTAAATATTCTACTAAATTCACAACTTATAATTATAAATAATGTAGCATACAAATATTTAGCACTATTTTTAAACGAAAGTGATGGAAGTCTTTTTATTATATTACTTCTAAACCTCTCCAAGTGATGTTCATTTATTGGAACAAACACAACTTTCTTATTTTTCTGTTTTTTTTTTTTTTTTTTTTTATGTATGTAAGGTAGTGATACAAACTGTCCACAGTGATCTGAACTTAAATTTTGAATAATTGATTTATGCAAGGGCTTAACATCTGTAAAAATGTTATCTATACAGGTCGCACTAGGCCCAGCAATACGTGTTGGTTCTAAGAATAAATTTACAAGATTATACGATTTAAACAATGAGCGAAACTTAATACTAATGGAAGAAGTTTCAAGGAGATTGATATAAGTCTCCACACATTACAACAGACTTGTTCTGTTTACTAAGTTTGAGTAAAACTTCTTCCACAATCCTTTCAAAATGGTCATAAGTAGCACATGGGGGTCTGTAAACACTTACAACAATGAGGTGCTCGAGCTCGACACAAGTCATTTCTACAGTTCGTTCAACAGAGAGGCTCACAATATCCTTACGTTCTTTATATATTAATGATTTATCTGCTAATATTTAGGAGCCACCACGTTAACTGTTTTCTCTAGTGAAGGAACTGACCACCTGGTGATTTCTGAAATTAAACATGAAATTATAATATTTTAGCCAATGTTCAGTAATACAAAGGATGTGTATATAGTTACTATTTAAAAACAATTCAACTTCCAATTCTTTGCCCAACATGCCTTGTATATTTTGATGCACCAGGTGTAAACAATTTTTATTACTTATTTGTGGGCTGTATTCAAAATTAATTAAACTCTTATTATTGCTAGAGATTGCCTCTATTGTCACATTCACTAATTTAAATTAGTTGAAACTGATTCCAAATTAAATGTCAAATGATTATGCTCAATAAAAGCAGTCTTGGTAGCCAAAAACTTGGCTGAGTTAAAAAGTAAATAATAAGATAGCACATTTGCTATCAGTCTTAAATTATATTTGGATAGGTAATACCTATCTTTTGTCCAAAACTTTTTTATTAAATATTTAAGTCAATTACATGAAATTTATGATTATTATCATTACAATTATTTGTCAAATTTAAATTATTATTACATATTAAATTATGCATTTGTATATTTAAATTATGTCTTAAATTATTTTCTTGTGGCAATCCCTGTATAAAAGGCAGTGTGAACAAGACAATTTTGTGTACATTTAACTTATTAAGTAGTTCAATATATCTTAATAACTGTTTTTACAAACTCTTCCCTCTTCTGCCTCTTCTACCAACAAAAATTATTATTGTACTATTTGGGCAAAATTTAGTAACAATAATTTTATTTAGGATGTCACTAAAAGATGCTCCAGGCATGCAGCAATTTGTAACTTTTTGTCCCTTTAAAGAGTTATTTAAAGTTATGCCTAGATTTTTTCCTATGTCATCGCTATAAATAATTATATTATTTTTAGTAATATTTGATTATATTAATTATAAAAAGCATTTGATAATATATTATTTATAAAAAGCAATTGCTTGAATACACAATGTACTTACATAATTTTCTAAAACACATTAACGTAATTCAAATTAGCTTTATATACGTGGTTCTTGTTCGCTTAGCCCTTACGAATTGTGTGTTATGTCGGTTACCTTCAGCGATTTTCTTCGAGCGACTTCCTTACATTCATTCAAGGATTTATGAAACTAGTTTTTTCTTTGTTATCTTTAGTATTTCAATTCCGCTACATATAATGTGCACGATCTATACATATAAATAAAATTGAATTGTCTGTCTGTTATACAACGTGTAACGAAAACCCTGTGGTTCCCGTTATGTACGTTATCAGAGTCAGTATTCTAACGTAAAGTATTTCTTTATTCCTTTTGTTAAAAAAACTTGAACATTAAAAAAATTAATTTTAGTTTAAAAAATGAATTTGCAAATTTTATGTGGTTTTATTACCCCTAACTGACACGAGCATCGGTGAAGGGGGTTCTTTCACAATCCTCTTACTCTCCGGATAATGCAGAGGTAATAAAACAATACAATTAGAATTTTTTTCAAATTAATATTTTTTTTATTGTTCAAGTTTTTAGAAAAAAAAAAGTTATTTCGTTACTTTGAATAAAACTACCTTACGGATTTTATCGCGTTTAGTTAACTTTTGTTATAAGTACCGTATGTACTTTCATATGCATTTAGTAAAAAGCTGTTATTTTGATATTACAAACAGACACATAAAGAACGGGGTAGGACAACGCTGCGTAGAATACCAGCGTAAAATAGTAGCTGAATGCTGCTGTGTTTCGTATGGTTAGTGTAGAGAATCGGAGACCCTTTTTACTGGAAAACGAGGCATTCCATCTTAGTTCTCAGGTGGTTTAATCTTAATCTATACAAATAAATCGATTTTATTATTGCTGCGTTGTCCCAATCCGTTCGAGCCGACCCTTTCGCGCTACAACCATAATTAACGTTACCTACCTACACATCGCCTTCCGGTACCAGGCTACCACCCGAGAACTTTTCTTCCCCATCGGTTGTCAGGCATAGTAAAAATTCTCTTTAATAATATATTATTTGATACACAACACTGATAATTTTATTATTCAGCACCATGACCACTGTATTTGAACAAATATTCGCCTATCTTAGGGTATAACATTTCTCTTGTATGTTGACTATACGGCACGTCGAAGTGATTCCACAGTGGGTTTTTAACGTATACCACTTCAAGCACATTCGGTAACTGACCTTTTAACCATTCCACGTCCTTTTTGGATACAATATTATCATTCTCACCATGAATGATCACTACAGGCGCCGTAGTAGCGTTACAGTTATAAGTTGTAGGCTGCTTTCTACCGTAAATTTTCATGTTCATCACAGGGCCGTAATCGAAATTCTGGAATTCCTCCTTATTTAAAACTAGGCTGAACCATGCCATAACCCTGAAAGATGTCCCCGCAGGGAAATGTCCAGTTAAGGCACGAATGGTTGACACTGATATAGAGCCAGGGTTATAGGAATCCAGCATGGTTAAAATTGACTAACATATTGTATCTGCAATGAAATCATTTTGACAAATATCATGCATTATCTTTTGAATGTACCCACCCCTTGGCAATGCTCGTATTCTAGAGCATTCTGAATATTGGGTTCTAATATTTCACACGCTTTAGTAATTATTCTAAAGGCTTGCGATTTAACATTTGTCATTTTTGCAGCGGGATGCAACAAAATAGCGATGTTGACTTTTCCGCAGTATCCTGGTCTTTCAGAGCACATAATAACGAACGACCTGCCACTTTGTGAGTATCCAATATAGTTTAGCTTTTCAGATCTGGTGCTAGAATATAATCAATAATAGCTGGCAAATCGTAAACACCGACTTCGTTTAATGAAAATTTCCAGAATTCAGGATCCACGTCAGGATTCATTCTTGTATGATTCCTAGAGTAGTAGTTTCCTCGTACATTGCCTGCCCATAGATCATAGCAGTCGTTAGATATCAGGTATGCTAACCCAGCTTCAGGGCCTGAGTCAATCCAGCTGTCTGAACTCAAGAGCAGGCCGTGCATAATTAACACTGGGGTCCCCTCGTACTGTGAAGTGGCAATTTTTCCCCCTTGGTATCCTGAATAGAGTCAAAACATATCCATCTTTTTTTTTTTTTATAGGAGAGGGGGCAAACGAGCATGCGGCTCACCTGATGGTAAGTGACTACCGCCGCCCATGAACAACTGCAACACCAGGGGAATCACAGATGTGTTGCCGGCCTTTTAAAAAGGAGTACGCTCTATTCTTGAAGGTCCCTAAGTCGTATCGGTCCGGAAAAATCGCTGGTGGTAAACTATTCCACAAGGAAGTTGTGCGAGGAAGAAAACATCTTCTAAATCGCACAGTGGTGGACCGCTAATCATCCAGATGGTGTGGATGGTATCGGGAGTTCTGCCGCGATGTGCGTTCGTGAAATTTGGCGGCTGGGATTAATCCGAACAATACCTCAGAGCACTCCCCATGGTAAATGCGAAAGAAAATGCTAAGAGATGCAACATTTCTTCGCAGTGCCAATGAGTCGAGCCGATCGGAAAGGACTCGGTCGTCGACGATTCGAGCCGTTCTGCGCTGGATGCGGTCAAGTGGAAGAAGCTGGCACTGGGGAGCCCCAGCCCAGTGATGGGAACATTATTCCATGTGAGGCCGAACCTGCGCCTTGTAAAGTTGCAGGCGTTGAGCCGGCATGAAATACTGTCCCGCTCTGCTGAGCACGCCAAGCTTTTTAGAGGCCAATTTGGCCTTCTCTTCCAAGTGACCATGAAACTGCACGCTACTCGATATGTCGACGCCGAGGATTCCGATACTGGCTGAGGCAACAAGGGGAATACCTTGAAACTGAGGAGATACGACAAAGGGGTTCTTTTTAGCGGTAAACGCGCAAACTTGTGTCTTCTGAGGATTAAACTGGACTAGATTTAGTCGCCCCCAATCCGAGACTTTGTCCAGCAAAGACTCTACTTCAGACACAAGTTTGTTCCGGTACTCTGTGACGTTTTCCCGAGAAATATTGGCACGGCCGGTGTATAGAGCATCACCAGTGCTGTCATCTGCATAGCAATGAATGCTACCAGCAATGAATTGCAACATATCATTGATATGCAGAAGAAACAGCGTTGGTGATAGCACGCAGCCTTGTGGAACACCAGCGTTAATAGGCTTGTAGTCGGAGCATGCACCGTCTACAACGACCTTGATGCTCCGATCTGCAAGAAAGCTGGTGATCCCATTGCATAATTTCTCGGGAAGCCCATAGGAAGGGAGCTTCGAAAGAAGCGCTTTGTGCCAAACCCGATCGAAGGCCTTCGCAATGTCCAAACTAACGGCCAATGCCTCCCCCTTGGACTCTACTGCCAACGCCCATCTATGAGTTAAGTAGACCAGAAGATCACCAGCTGATCGACCCCGACGAAAACCGTACTGGCGGTCACTAATCAGCTGGTGATCCTCAAGGTACCGCATGAGGTGGCAGTTTACAACGGATTCCATTATTTTGGAGAACAAGGGGGTGATGGCGATAGGCCTGTAGTTGGACGTATCTGAGCGGTCGCCTTTTTTAGGGACCGGGTGGACAAAAGCTGTCTTCTATGATTTCGGGACTACGCCTAGGGAGTAGGAGTACCGGAAAAGACGCGTTAGAACCGGTGCCAAATCCGGAGCACACGTCCTCAGCACAATTGGGGGGATTCCGTCAGGCCCACTCGACTTGTGGATGTCAAGGGAGAGAAGTGCTCTGCGAACCGAGCGCTGTGAGAATCGCACATCCGGTATGGAGCACTCACACCGCGGGATGGTCGGCGATGTGTTCCCCCCGTCATCAACAGTCGAGTTGGACGCAAAAAGGGAGCCTAAAAGGTCGGCCTTCTCTTTTGCGTCGTGGGCCAGTGAGTCGTCCTCCCTGTGCAGAGATGGTAGTGATGGCTTACAGAAATTCCCTTGGACAGCCTTGGCGAGAGACCAGAATGCACGGGTTCCCGAAGGAAGGCGAACTAGTTTCTCGCCAATTCTGCCTATGTGCTCTGACTTTGCCTTGGCAATAACTCTTTTGAAGGACCTGGAGGCGAAGTTATACTTCTTTTTGAGTGTGCTGGTGTTTACATCCCGAGTCACTGAAGCCGCAGCCCAGGCTTGATAACACTCCTGCTTACTGCGTAATGCAGTCTTACAGGAGCGACCAAACCAAGGCTGAGATCTGCCTCCGATGGGTACCACAGATGATGGAATAAATAGTTCCATTCCCTGTAGCACTACATCAGTGACAGAGTCAGTAACAGCGCTGGGATCATCCGGCGAGAAGCAAACCCGCCCCCATGGGTAGGAAGCAAAGAAAGACCGCATTCCGTCCCAATCCGCCGACCTGTAATGCCTAACACGGCGGCAACCTGTAGAACGCAACCGCGAGGGGAGCGTGAGTGGCACCACACTCCGGATCAGACAATGGTCCGAAGAGCCAAGAGGGGCATCGACGGAAACCTGATATCCGTCCGGATGAGAGGTCAGCAGAAGGTCCAACAGGGAAGGTGTATGATCCTCAACATCTGGAATCCGCGTAGGCGAAGTAACCAGTTGTGTCAGACCATATGCCAAGGCAAAGTCATAAACAGATCTCCCCGCATGATCGGTTAAACGTGAACCGAGCCATTCGGCGTGGTGGGCGTTAAAATCGCCAAGGATCACGATCTCTGCGGATGGGACCTGTTGTAGCAAGGAATCTGTAGCCATTTGGACGTGGTCGATGAGTCGGTCTGTTTCGGCATTACCGCTATGGGACCTATAGAGGCACACGTAGACGCGCGGATGGTCGTCGCTGTCTACGCGTAGCCAAAGGATGGACAGGTCCGAATCTTCAAGACTGCCGAGGCGTCGAGAACAGATGTCCTCTCTGACATACACGCAAACTCCAGCCCGAGGCACAAAGGAGTGCTCCAATTTGTACCCCGGGTAGGAGAGATACGAAGTATCAGCCGGAGAGGACACCTGCGTCTCGGTCAGAAAGAGCAAGGCCGGCTTCGCCGTCTCAAGATGGTAGTAGACGGCGTTTACGTTCGAGTGAAGTCCCCTGATGTTGCAGACATTCACGGATAGCGTGGCAGGGGTCGCCTTGGTCTTGTTGCTCAGTTTGCCCCGAGCAGTTATTGTGTTGAGCGGAATTTTGCCCCCCCCCCAGAATACGCGGGGCAGCCTGAGCACCCACGCTCAGGAGTGGAATAGCATGGTCGTGGATGCTCAGCGAGGGATTCTCCAGGGGTACTGGTACCCTCCTGGGGTAGTTTATGACGTAATTCCGCTACCATGTTGATGGGGGGGGGGGAATTGGGCATCCGGTCACCCGCACTCACCAGACGAAACGCGGAAGCAGAGCTTCCACTTCACGCCTGTATTCTGTGAGGTCGTGGTACTAACCCGGCTCGAGCCGGCCCATACGTGCAACAGCAAAAGCTGCTGCAAGGCTCTACCACCGTTATCTTATTCTCATCTCTATCTTCAGTTATTACAGTGTGTTCTTCAGACGTATAACCATATTCTGTAGAAATTTCTGTAAAGTTAAGCGAGGAAAGTCTTTCATATCTGATTCCCTTATGAAATAATTTTTGAAATACACCATTAACTATTTGTATTGTTGTATTTAGAAATAATATGTAAAATATCCAATACGTTTTCTCTGCCATCTTTTGCTTAACGATCATTTTGCTTTTGCTGACACATTTATACTCGTAAAAATGCAATATATAATTACTGTAGACTCGTATAATAGCTAATCAGATGTCCATAAACCTTTAGATATTGTTTCTTTATAAAAAAGCAATTGCTTGAATACACAATGTACTTACATAAATTTCTTAAACACATTAACGTAATTCAAATTAGCTTTATATACGTGGTTCTTGTTCGCTTAGCCCTTACTAATTGTGTGTTATGTCGGTTACCTTCAGCGATTTTTTTCGAGCGACTTCCTTACATTCATTCAAGGATTTATGAAATAAGTTTTTTCTTTGTTATCTTTAATAATTCAGCTCCGCTGCATATAATGTGTACGATCTATACATATAAATAAAATTGAATTGTCTGTCTGTTATACAACGTGTAACAAAATCCCTGTGGTTCCCGTGAAGTACGTTATCAGAGTCAGTATTCTAACGTAAAGTATTTCTTTATTCCTTTTGTTAAAAAAACTTGAACATTAAAAAAAAATTTTAGTTTAAAAAATGAATTTGCAAATTTTATGTGGTTTTATTACCTCTAACTAACACGAGCATTGGTGATTTTCAACATAGCAACATTTGTAATATGACGAACAAAAATAAAAACAAATTTGAATTCAAGATCGGAAAGGTATCAGGTACAAAATTATTTTGCGCCACCATCTCATGACCAATTCTAAATCTAGGTTTAAAATTTTAAATAAAAATCTGAATGAATTTAAAAGCAAAGTTTTATAGCGCATTCATCGCATTTATAAAAATACAATAGAAGTGTTAC